GCGCGAAAGGCCTCCCTAAAAAAAACAAGGCGAGATAGTGGCCACTAGTAACAGTTTCCCCTAAGTGATAAACCAGCGCGACCACAGTGAAGGTCTCATGACGCAAACTGGTGCAGGAGTGCTCGGCAAAAATGGGAACGGCCACGGAGTCGCCTGGTCGTACGCGCAGCTTATCACGATTCTTGGCATTGTGACTGGCATATCTCCCGAGCTGCAGGAATACTAGACCATTATGCTGGGTTATGGCATGCACGGCAAACTGACTACTCCAGGCATCCAGAAGCTCTTGCAAGTTGGCGCCTCGCATGTGAAGCAGGATCGCCTGATGCAGAGTACCTGCATCATGCACCACAGCCGGATTGCTGAGTCTGGCTTCCCAGCGACCGTTCCATGCCTCCGCCCGAGCAAACTCCAAGCTGTGATGCAGAAATTCGCCTGCATCATGTTGCTGGTGCAACATGGCCCAGGTGCTGAAAAGTCCACGCAACGCAAAGCAGTCTGGCAGATGTATCCCCCTACCAGCCCGAAGTATCCCAGAAGCAGCCTGCAATCGGCCAAGGCAGGCCCCACTGAATTCCATGAGCCATACAAGCACCTGCAGGGTAGTATTGATGTAGCACACGTTCGTACGATTCACCAGTCGGGTGCTGAAGAGTGCAGGCGCCTGCATGGCAGGTGCGGCCCGCGGCCGCGCTCCCTCTAGCGCAGCCGCCGCAGACGACCGACCTAGGTCGCCTTGCGTGGCCAAGGGGTCTGGTTGCCCCGCCGACTCCAGTCGCAGTACGGCATACTTAAGTATGCCTCCTCGAGAGCTACTGCTTGTGGCGGCTTCTGGATCCGCTCGGGCCTCCAACGGACCCCCTGAAGCTTCATGAAGGCGCTGCCACTCAGCTGTTTCAGGGCCTTGTGACAGGCTTCGCTCGCCTCTCCGCGCAGGCTCAGCTGCAGGGTCACAGGGATCACCTCCTCCATAAAAGTCTCCTGTTGAAGCTTGGGGCACGAGAACGGGTGAGGACTCCCTCCCGCGGGAGATTTTCCAGGAGAACGTCCACCAAAGCGGAGAGCCTCGGTGTGCTTGAGCGGCGGTGCTTCCGAGCGAACCTGCTTCTTCTCTTTCGAGTCCCATGTTTGGTAGATCCATGCAGGGTTCAGCCCCGACTCGGTTTCCAGCGCCCAGCCCACAGTCAGGCAGCGTTGGAGCTTGTCCTCGTCTCGGAGAATAGCCTCGGCCCTCTCCTTTAGATCCTTCATCATGCTCATAGCAAGAATCGTCCTCAGGGCAGTCTTTACCGTGCCCGCTTCGAACTGAGCCTGCCAGGCCTTGAGCACTCCCTGTAGCAACTCGACACAGCCGAGGCTTGAAGTATCGACGAAGGCTATAAAGCCCACATCCGGGCGGATGCGCATGAGCTCTTGCTCGTGCCTCACCGTCATCTTCACCAGGCACTTCAGGAGCTCCTGGGTCTGCTTGCCCTCGCCGCTCCCTGCCTCCTGCTGGGCATCGTCCTTCCAGTGCCGCTTGGGACGCTGACCGCCGCTCCAGTTGCTGTCCCAGGAACTGTAGGATGGACCCTTGCCCTGCTTGCTGTCGTCCTTTCGCCGTTTTGAAGGACGTCCCTCCCCCTCCGGGTTCTCTTGGGCTGGCTCGCCCGCTTGCTTCGACGCAGTCGCGAAGACATCCTCCAGCTCCTGCCTCGCCTGCTGGGCCAGCTGCGCGTCCACATCCATGCTCGTCATGAAAAAGCGGGCCACCTGGCTGCAGCAGTTGGTGTAGGAGCGAAACCTGAAAGACCACCGGACAGCTGGCAAGGTGGCGACCCGGTTGGCGCAGGGAAAGGGGGCAGTAGCTACACGGTGCAGTAGCTGCGAGGCCAGCGCTGAGGCATTGTGAGGTGGCAGCGTCTTTATAGCACCAACTGTCAGGATGCATTTGCCGGATGTGCTGCTTAACTCTCTGACTCCATTGTCCGCAAAGCACACAGTGGTCTTTCAGTACGCTGCCGTATTCCGACTTGGCTGCTGCACTTCGCCAGTTCCGGCACACTTGCAAGCGAAATTCAGCATTATCGGCTAAAACAGCATGCTCGATGGCAGGTAACGGTCGGAGGACTGTCTGTGGAGCCCAGCACCTAGGCAGCTCCACCCGCGCGGCAGGGACCTGACCCACCGAGGCGGTGACAGCCTCCTCACAGTGCACTTTAGCAGCAGCAACCCCCTCACAGCCTGACTTAAGGTGCTTCTTTAAGCCCTCAACCCTAGTGAAGATTTTCTTACACTTTGCACACTGCGGCATTCCCTGCACCGATCCAGCTGCGTAGTCCAGCGCAGGCAACACACCGGCCCGAGCGGTTTTGTTTTGACCCCGGTAACCGTGCTGCCGTGCTTTGTGCGAACGCATGACTCGAAAGGAGGGAAAGTATTGTCCACATACCTGACATGGTACTCCTACTTCTTGAAAAAGATCAGGACTGGGCCGGGCTAACCCTACGCTTTCGGGGCCGGTGGTCTGGCACTGGCTCTCCAGTTCTTCCAGCCGTGCCTGAAACCATGTGGCGCTCCGCGGGTCTTGCGATTTCTGCACTCGGCGCTCAAGAGTACGTTTAAGGACCTGATGCGGGGAGTCAACCTGCAAACGCTGCCTCAGCGAGGTGGTGCT